TTGAAGCCTCGTTATACTTTTTAGAGACAACGTTTCTTTGAATCAGGTACAAATAAACTTGAGCAAATTGTCCACAGTGGAGCTATGTTTATCACACACTGAAATACAAATCGTTTGCCGTCTATATACAACAAAAGACGCATAATTCGCCGTGAGTTTTTTGGTACTTTTAAACTCTGAAAACCCTAAAACTGAATGATAATTTTCTGCTATTATTTCTCTCGAATATAAGTTAACCACCTGGAAAGGTTTTTCAAAGCAGGATATCGATTACGTGCAGTATAACGATTGCGTGCATTTCGTTGTTTGCGCGCTCTAAAATAACAATTCAAAATTGACAAGCATGTTTTAAATAAAAGAAACATGAACCCTCGCAATTTTCAGAGTAGGCTTTTCAATGCTTCCAGCGATAAAAAACCGCTCGTGATACGTTTTTTTTTTTTTTAAATAGTATTTTGTTGTTGTTGTAGTTGTTGTTGTTTTTGCAAGAGAAAGATAAAGCTCTATATCACTAAATAGTTCCTAGTATCTCGTACTACGGTATCCCTATAAATGTATATTAGCTATGCTTTATACTTGGATGTTTATTAGAACGCTTTAACAACATTGTAAAACTGACAAACAAATTAATAATTAAAAATAATGCTCGCATCTTGCGGCGCGGACTTAAAGAAGGATACATAAGTTTATTAACGTTTGTTATTATCTTACTCAGTGATTCGTTTATTTAATCGAATCGACACGGAGGTTGGCAAAGCCTTGGATAACCAAAGGCTTACTCACTCATTCTTTATCCCCCTCGTTTTTTAAACATGGTCTGCACTCTTATCTGTCAGTGGATAATTCTTGCGTATGTTGGTATAACCTATTTTGTAAATGGAGGTAAGAATGAAAAAGCTGAAATGCGTGCTAGTTTAACATAATGTAGCCTGATTCTGTCTGCAGCTAGGTGTGATATTTCGTATCACGTATATATTAATTTTTTTTTTTTCTACATCGAATCGAGAACCATACAAATACGGCTGGACTTCCGTCGTTGTTAACCACGTTTTTTTTGTTTGTTTGTTGTTGTTTTATTTTTTGTCCTTCTTTTTTGTTTGTTATAGTTAGGATAGATTAGATCAAATTCCATACTTTTATAGTTATTTTTATTCAATAAATGCTGAAAAAATACATAGTTAAAAACATAGCGCGTGTGCTTTGCCCTATACAAGTCCTATTCAGCCGCTAAAGGAGATTTTTCCCCGGTGACTTGTTCAGTTGTGTTTTTTGTCTCTTTTCCTAAGAATTAGGTACCCAAAAATCGGCGGCAATGATGAAAAACTTTCTAGCGTCTTTTGAATTTAGGTTCTAGCCACTCAAAAGCAAAAGCGGTGAAGATCTTTCGCAAATAAGAGAGCCAGAATCGTCGAAAAGTCTGCCTTCAAGACTGACATTCAGCTGGAAAAAACATCACGTCGGGAAATATCAAATTTGTATAAAGTATCCTCCGTTTTTACCGTTTGTTCACCCATTACAAAACAAGTTAATTATCGAGTACGGCTCAACAGTGCAAAATTATGCACTTTTGTTATCGCCGAACAATCCGACTGATGCATGAAAATTTCAAGAAGACAAAAATTTATTACTCACAAAAACAACTGCTGCCAGGTCTTCTCAACTAGAAGCCGTAACGACTAGCCAATTATTTTGTTTGCAAATGAATATAAAGTAGGATGATTAATATTAATTATTTCGATATCAGACTGAAAACAAAAACTTAATTTGATTTGCGAGTTTTAAGACAAGAAAATTACCCCTATCTAGGAATATTTCGAAATTCCCTTTCTAAAATGTAAAACGATGATAATTTTCGGAATTTCTTTTTTAGATCAAACTGGTAACTGTTTACTATCATCTTATTTTTTTTTTTATAGGTGGGGGAGAGGGGAGAGGCAGAGGCGTTTTTCCTGTTTTTTTTTGGGGGGGGGAGGGAGGGAGGGGTGGGAAAGTATTGTCCACTCAGGGCCAGTTAAAAATATAATAACCATGTTTTCTTGTCAATAGGTTCATTTTTTTTTTCCATATCTGGTGCAACTGATGGTAACCATATACCATTTTCCTTGTATAGTGTATTTGAAATGACCACCCCCCTCCCATCAAAACTCAAATGATTGTCGCAGGGGGACAGGTCAGCAACGTCTTCAGGGTAGAGGGTCTACACGTTTTTCTCATATATTTCGAGACAATGATTTCAGCACTACGTCCGGATAAATTCACAAAAAAGGAAACTTAAGTAAACTGGTGGACTTAGCCCAATACAAGTTTGATAATTTACAAAAAAGCCAATATATGTTACTATAATTTTTTGTAGATGGAAGTTGTCGGGCTGTTCGCTTTCAAGAGCGAATAGAAAACAAGGTTTTAACCAATTACGTCTTCAAAAGCTACCGGGGAATTAACGAGGAAATGTGCGAGGTAAATTGCTTTTTAGAACTGGGGTGCGTGTCCTATAATCACGGTACAATGGACGATGGACTGTTCCTGTGTGAGCTGAATGACAGAGAGCACATGGAAGTGCCTTCGAGTGAACTGGTGACAAAAGACGGGTTTATATATCGTGCAATATCAATAGTAAGTGGCAAATTAAGCTTGTGTTATTCATTAATGAGGAACCTGCTTCCTTGAAATTAACTTAGTCTCTCTTTATTTTGAATCATAAACTCAAAAGCGTTGATGACACTGATACCGCTTGCAAATTATTATTATTTTTTATCTTATCTTTTCTTTTTTTTTTTTTTTTTTTTTCAGAATTTTTGTGCTAGTAATCCTTGCTCAAGCAACTCAACTTGTCAAACAGGATTTGGCAAGCAAGGGTTTCGCTGTTTGTGTCCACGCGGTTATCTTGGCGACAATTGTGAATTGGGTAAATGAATATAAAATAAATAAATTGATGAATAGAGGATTAGAGGAATAGTTTAATAAATGAATGAATGAACGAATTGAAGAACAAAGAGATATCCAGACAGAACGATTTATTCTGCGCATGTCTACTGATAAACTGAAAATACTGACCTTTTCGAACGCAACTGTAGAAGTAATATATATTTTTTTCCTTTGTTTAAAGATGTTGATGAATGCAGCTCGTCTAAACATAATAACTGTTCATCTAATGCTGACTGTTCTAATTTACCTGGCTCTTTTAAATGCGATTGCAAATCTGGATACACAGGAGATGGCGTGGATTGTGCTGGTAGGATTCTTGAATCTTAGTTAAGAGTTCCCCTTGAGTCATTTCATATAATCACCTTCTTACATTTAACTCTGATACCATTTCACAGAATTAGCTGACTGCAAGGATGTTTTAAAAGTGACTGGGATATACCACATTACGAATCACGGACCGGAGTCATTTCCAGTTTACTGCGATCAGTCTGATGATGGAGGAGGTAATAGACTGTAGCTTAATTGTTCAGTGTATAATTGCAAAAGAACATAATACGGAGGGCCCAAACCACCCAACAGAGGGTTCTTCAAAGAGTGGAAAGTTTGGTTAATTTGCAATAACATTTTGCCTCAAACAAAAACTTAAAATTACGTGGTCAACATCCGAGATCTATCGGGTTAGTTTGGTCAAAAAAGTAAAAGAAAAAGTAAATGATACACAAATATAGCCTGAATGATTCCTTTTAAGGGTGGTTTGGCGTCACCGTGGACGAAAATGTTGATTAGGTAGATCTTACTAAGCTTAACATCAGACTCTCCTTTAATGTACCGAAACAATACAAAACTTGAAGCTACTGGGAACTACAAAAATAATATTAATAATAATAAAAAAAATCTGGCTGCATATTCTTGTTTCTTAGAATTCCACAAAATATATCTGACATAATACACACTCTTTTCCGCCAATTTATGCACACATCATTGTTTTTAAACGCTTCCCGACAGATTACATATTCCCAAAAGAATTAATTTGAAGAGAGCAATTTAAGCTTTTATACTACTACATGAGAAATTTCTGCAATCTTATTGGCTTAGAGCAGTGGTATTTCAGCTTAATTTGAACTACCTACATGTGAAAATTACAAACTTTTTGTGGGTAGCAGTATAAACAAATAATATCATGATTTATACGTGATAATTGTCATAAATACCACTCGTGATATTTCAAAATTGTCTCAAATTTCACCCGCCTAACGGCTCCAGAAATTACGTACAACAGTTTCGAAATATCAGTCGTGGTATTTATGCCAAATATCACTACAAATCATGCTATTACCTATACAAATGTTAGGGGGGTGGGGGGGGGGGGTTGGGGCAAACATAGTTTATTATTAAGGTTTATTTAATACTGTGTAAGCGTGTGGGGCTGTTGCGGGGAAGGTCGTAAACAAGACCTTGAAGCCCTCCAAAACCGGGCTGCTAGGATAGTGGCTTGTACTGTGCGCAGCAAGCAGGCATTGGACGTTCTGAAATGGCCCACCTTGGAGGAGCACCGACGTCAATCTGTTTTTAAACTCGTTAAGAAATGCCTGCAAGGTCAATGTCTCCAGTATTTTAAACAATATTTTAAACGTAATAATACAATCCATGCGCGCGCTACTAGACAAAGCAACCTCTTACATCCGCCTGCTGTGAGAACTGAAATTGCAAAAAGATCCTTCTATTATTATGGTTGCACTCTTTTTGACGAATTATCTTAATGATATTTCGTGTTTTACATCTTTTAATCTTTTAATTGAAAATAGTTTTCTATTTATATTATTACCTGTATTAGTGTAATGTTTATATGTTTAGTGTGTTTTTGTGCGTTGTTGCCCAGGGCTCCCATTGATAACAGACAGCTTTTTGCGTCTGAAGGGGCTACCCTGAGCGGTATAAATTAATAAAGGTTCTTCTTCTATGTTCAATTGAAAAATATATAGTCAATAGGTCACTTTGCGCCTTTCCGTCCTTTGGTGAATAGCAGTCATATGTACTTTGCTTCGCCTTTTTTTTTTCCTCTTGTAGGGTGGACGATGGTATTCAAAATCGTAGGCGGCGTAGCACCTGAGAATGTCGACGATGTGTGGACTTCTTCGGACACAGTCTCAGAAAATGTAAATGCTGCCTTAGACGTAACTACAGCTCACCAAGGACACTACAAAAATCGTATTATACAGAACTGGGAGGCATTTAATCCCCGGGAGGTTTGTTTACACTCTCATAAAATGTCGAAGTGGAAGCTTAAAGCCACAATAAGAACAAACTAGATCAGAGATTCTAGCTGCATATTCTTATATATTCATGACTGAAGAAGTTAAATCGAATTGAATATTTTCTCTTCTAATAAAAATTGTTTCTTTGGCAAATTTAAGCTCATTAAAAAGGAGAATTTTATATTTAAATTTTAATGCGTTTACAGAATTGTGACAAAAAAGGTTAAAATATAAGTAAACTTTGCACAGGTTTTTAATAGAAGTTAGCACAAAACAGAGAGGTTCAGTAAGTCAAGCAGCATAGGCCATTGCTTCTTTGAGCATGATACGATCAGCAATGACCATGATTATAGAAACGAACTGTGGACTCCAGCTTAGAACTTACTTCCGAGAAAACTGGGATCAGGAAAAGATTATAAAGTCACGTTTAAGACAAGGGGCAAACGTCAGACTCAAGCTAAGAATTCCTTAGAATGGAAAATAAGCAAATAACAACTGTCCAGAACAGTTCTCATGGATAAAACTGGCGTGAAACTATACTTATTTTTTAAGTAGAGGTAATAAACAGTAAACGACAATTAAGGGGAAAACTTGGTCACGTGGTACAAATTCACGTCTGTTGTCTCTCTCTCTCTCTCCAATATCTCTAACAAGTGAATTAAGACCAAGTACAAAAACGATGGGATTACTATCAATAAAAGGTGTGTCAAAAAATTTATAAAAGAAAAAGTTAGGATCGATGAGTCAGTGTTTGAGACAGACGAAATGGCGGAAACCAACGACCATGAGTGTGCGGTGGTGGTGGCCGAAATAATTGGAATTCGGGCGAGGCGAAAGAACGAGAAGAAGTCTTAAAAGTCTTAAAAAAGAGAAATGACTATACGCAGATGAATAAACGTTTTATAATAACTGATTGATCTGTTACGTGCTGATTGGTCGAGAGCTATAGTCGATAAGAGTACAGACCATAGAAACAACGTATTGGTGGCGCAGTATGTTTTTCTCTTTCTTGCTCGCGCGCGAATTTCCGAGAGACGTTAACCGAAATGAACGTCTAAACTATCAAGAATATGTTATTGTAAAAAGCAAAACGACACCAGTTTTCCATGGTATATACTCCTATCCACTATACAAATTACGTCAAAATGTTCAAAAGTTTTGAGTTGGTAATTAAATTGTAAATTGATTAAGTGAATTGTAGATTTATAAATGCTGACCCTGGCTTCAAGGAATAAAAGCAAGCCCTAGGGATGGTACTATTCTGCAGCATCCGATACAATGCATGACGTCCTTAATATCAAATGAAAATAATATTCAGTTCTGAAAAAAGAGACTGAGTGGGTGCATGAATAGTAGAGTATAGATGCCTTTGATCGAATAAGTATAAGACTTACGTTATTATTAAAGACCTTTAGATTCAAGGACAAGAACGACTACGAGTACGAGATTTAACTGAAATTTTTGTTGCATACTCTAAGAAAATAGACACCCTGGAAACCCGCGTTGTAATTTTAATTCACCAGAAATGTTAGCATTGTTGTCTTTTTTAGTGAAGGAGGTTAAGCCCTCTCCAGATCGCTAAAATGATTAAACTTCTAACATTTGACAATTTATTTCGGTCACTATGACGTTCTCGCTAAAATCGTAGTAGAATGATGACGACTATCACATTTTTCCGTTAATATGACGCTGCTTCATGATCATGAGCGAGCAATACTAACAATTATTGGATGAGGTTTTTTTTTTGATATTGAGAATAATTAACGTCAAGGTAGGGGTTATCAGCCGAAGCCGAAGGCTGAGGCTGATAACCCTTACTGAGACCCTAATTATTCTGGATATCACAAAAACCGAATCTAATAATTGTTTTATTATACATTGAACGAATCCTTCCTTTCTCGCTTCGACATGAAATGTTTTCAAAGTTTGTGCCAACTCTTTCTTTTCCTCAGGTTCTCTCAGTTTTTTCTCTTTCACGTAATCAGCAAACAGCTCCTTTGCCACCTTCGTCGACCTTTCTGTGTTTGTCATCCTTGTCTTCAACTATTTTTTCGATGTCTTGCTCGGTCAACGAAGCAAACATGAAAGTCATGTTTTTGCTTCTTCATTGACAGAAAGCAACACAAAGCGCGCGAACTTGACATGATTAACCTTAGAAATCATGCACTGCGGTCATACATGACATGATTACCCGTGACCTTGAGTGTCCTTGACATGATTATTATATAATCTGCAGCTAGATGACGTCCCAGGCGCTGATTTCGAAAAATCACTGTACGCTTACGGCCAATCAGAAAAGAAATAGTGAGTTGAATGTATAATAATTATTGGTATTGAGAAAATTTCGTTCTCGTGGTCGTCCTCGGATTAGAATCTAAAGGGATATCTATTAACTCAACAGACCTGTAATATATAGCCGATCTCTCATTTTCTTTGTTTGGTTTATCAATGTGATTGTTACGTTAAATCTATTTAGTTTTCAGTATCTTCAAATTTCATTCCTCTTGATATTGCCACTAAAACTAAAGAATGATACGGTCATTTCTACTGCTATTGCGATCGTGATCCTTATCTTAAATTAAACGTTGGAAAACAGTGATGCATACATATAGATTTGCAACATGTTTGCTTAGATTTTTTCAGAAAGCAAACATTATTTTTCCACAGAGAGCAAATCTGGAGTAAATGTACACCGGATTTGTTGACTTGCGGAGGTATCAAATACGAAGCAAATGTAAAGTAGATTTCAGGTTTACGTCGTATTTGCACGCAATTTTCGACGGAATAAATATCTGTGTTTGTATCATAATTACTTCTGGTGATAATTTTGGTCAAATTTAGAGGGCTAAATTTGCACCATATTTACTTCTGTTGCAAACCTGTTTAAATCCGTTTTTTCGTGCAGTGTTAAGAATTCTACCGTGTTAAGGAAACAAAGGAACATAGCGTGTTAAAAAACACAAAGAATTCTAGCGTGTTATAAAAACAAAGCTCTACCGTGTTAACCAGATATGAACAATGGCTACGAACACGCTTCCCAGTATCAATTGTTTTTATGCGCATATCTGCACGGTAAGCGTGTCATGTCATCAGCGTGCGAGCGTGTTATAACGTGCCGTGTGCGTGCGTTCACCTTATTCCCTGAAATCCCGTGGAGGGTCACATTTGCAATGACACTGTTTTTCTCATTGTCATTTCTATAGGCCAGAGTGGTGCTTTACAATGGTGGAGTCGAGTTGGTCTCTCTAAAGTTCAGTGCTTTGGGAACAGATAACTTGAATTGGTTTTCACAAAATATGCTTCTTGAATCACCCTGGGGTGATCTTAAGTCCTCGGGAAATTTGAACATGTTTTCGATTCCTGGCGGTCATCGTAATTTTGAGATTAGTCTTCCATATGGAGCTTGCGAAACTGACGCAGGCTGGCTTTTGATAACAATTGATCGTGGCTGTGCATGGGAGCGTCGCCTTCCCTATCCGAGTGTTATATACAGCAAACTAGGAACGTCTGTAAACTGGAACGACTATGGTATGCAGGCATACAGGTTTATTTTTACAACTTATAAAACAATTCATTGAACTGACAAAAAAAACAACAAAAAAACAAAAAAAAAACACGGAATCAAGTTTCGACCCAGATAACTGACGTTGGCCATACCATCGTAACACCGGATGCATTTGTTTAAACAAGTTATGTTTTTTGTGTTTGTTTGTTAGTCAATCGTCATGTACCATTTTCGTTTTATGAAGACAAAATCTGCCTACAGTTGAACCTCTCTAATACGGACACCAAAGGGACAGAGCGAGGTGTCCGTATATAAGAGGTGACAATGATGACGTCCTTTTATGAATCCACTTACAGTTTTAAGTGTTCAGTAGCTAAAACCAGGCTCACACTCTTAAAAGTAGTAACGTGAAGTACAATAATTCTTAAAGCGTCTTTTACTATTTTGCAAGTGCAGTAAACAGCAACTAGAGTACAAATTGTAATAGCCAAAATCTTGCTATATGTAGTTATTGAAGCCTTCAAAAAGTCGGTTATGTTCCTCTGTACACCTCTCGCAAATCGTTCTTGGTATACAGTGGCTGGGCTTTTGAAATCACCTTGCATAGCTCATCAGCCAGACTAGACGGGATTCACCCTGTGCAGATTCACCTGATCGGGATTCGAGATTTACCTGATCACCGTATAATAAAGAGGTTAAGTTTATATGAAGTTACTCTCTGGGGCCGAGATTCAGAGTCCGTTGTCCGTATTACAAAGAGTCCGTATTATAGATTTTTTTTTTTTTTTTTAAGAAAATATATGAGAATTTTGTCGGGACATTGGAAACTGTCCGTAATAGAGAGATGTCCTTATTAGAGAGGTGTCCGTACCAAGAGGTTCGACTGTAATAAAAACGCCACCAAGGTTAACTGGGGGAATTATGTGAAAGATGTAGGTAGATAGTTCCATCATGCATTCGCCATTTTATTATTGCCTTTTTTTTTCTGAATTGTAACTCGAATTTGGACGTAACGGTTTTTTCCCATTTGTTTTTTTCTGATTTGGTTGCAGGTGATATTGGACTTGCAGAAGTAATGGTAGTGTACATTCGATGATGAGGTGGGTGCACAAGAACGACAGCAGTAAGAATGTAAATCTGGTGAAAAGAACAAGGGATAATTGATTCAGTGTTTAGGGTGGCCCCAACCTATATTTATAAGCGTGAGAGTTATGTTTTTTGATCGCGTTTTTCGAAAAGAACGATTTAACTGTTTTCTATGATTTTTGGTATCCTTAGTAACAAATGGTCGAAATTTTGGGAATTGTTATTTATTTTGTTGTAGGTTAAAAAAAATATGAGATATCGGCGTATATTTAAAGCCGAATTTTACAACAAACAAAAATGTAAATAACTTCGAATCCCATGGCAGATTTTTCCCCAACTTCAGCAAATAAGCTTTAGAGCTCGAGACCATAGAACTCGCTGCACAAAATACTAGTCACATTCAACCTTAAATTGTTACGCTTACACATTTCTGAAAGTTGACTCACAAATCGTGGAAGAGTGCCGACGGGCTATCTCCTATTTGAAAGGGTATTCTTACCCAAAGCGCGGCGCGCTTTACTGTAAGAATCTATTCAGAAACCTACGGCAAATACAGTTAGCAATACAAGAAGAACGACTTTTATTATCCTGAGTGCTAGCTGATATTAAAGAATTTCTATTCATCAAACTTACTTAGTATTTGTCCCTTCTGGAGCCCCTTTTAGACCCCTTTCACGGACCCACTTCTGGACCCCTCATTTTGTTTTTAAATAAAGAAATTAAAAATAAATAAAAAAATAAAAAAAATAAGCAAGCAAGCAATTAACATATAATACGGTCCCGTACCGTCATTCTTTCTTAAACATTTTGCCATGAAGCACGAAAGGTGACCGCAGGAAGTGCTTCTCAGATACAAATTAATTTTCTAAGGCTGACAAACGACTATATCGCTAGTATCCGCAAAACTTTGCGCAATGACTTCTTGCGACTTTGTTTGCGAAGGCTACGAGTTCTACTACTAGAAACTGCCGCCGGCATTTTGTTCCACCATCTTGGTTTTACCGCTTACCGATACCAACAAAGTCACATAACACTACGTATATTGACAGAATTCTAGAATTGTTCCTTTAAGTGTTATTTTGATTTTTTTTCCGCACTTTGCGAACTTATTGAAATAACTAGGAAACTTACAATGCAGTTTATAGATGGTTTTCTTTCTAAATTAAAGGTTGCCGTTTACTTTTACATTAATACAACAATATTTTTTTTCTATTTGTTATGCGCATTTTGAGCCTATCCAAAAACTCAAGTTTTTATTATTTTTAAGTTCGCCATGTAAATTTGTTTTGAACAATTTTAAAGGTCAATCTTTCGAATCTTAAAACCTAGTGACAATTTGAATAGCTCAAAGAGTAGAAATGTAAATTTTTAACAGCCATTTGTTTCACAAGCGGGGAGAATCAATATGCTAGAATTTCACATCTAATATCATAGGTGACGAATTACTCCTTAATTTTGGCGCGAAATTTCAGCATTAATTTGTAATTTCACATGTGAAACTACTAAATTGCCATGGCAACCTGCCGTACGTCTCAGTGTCAAGATGGCGACGAAGTTTTAAAATGTCATGAATGAAGATGTCAGGGCATAAAAAGACGCTTTATAAATCTGAACACACGAAAGAGCGAATCAAGAAGAATTCTTAGAGGTATTTTGTCGAAAATTTCCGAAAACTTAAGCCAAATTTCAGCTCTAAACGTTTGAGAGAGTGGAGTTCACGATCGATCGATGCGATCCAGGATAAACAAGTCAAAAATCCTCGATTGCTAAGGTAATTCGTCACCCATGATATTAACAGGTAATCAAATGGTATACTCGTGAAATTAGGGAATAATTTCACTTGCGTTTTGTCCAAATCCTAATAATTTTCCTCGCCTAAAGACTCTGGAAATTATAACGATTTGGACAAAACGCGCGTGAAATTATTCCCTAATTTCACTCGTCACCATTTGATTACACATACAAATACTTCCTATAGAAATTAACCCTTTTCAACCAGTTTTTGAGCTCAAAATTTGCAAGATGGGACCACCTTGTATTGTTCCATTCAACAGCAAATTGTTGTTGCTCGAATTATCAATTAGTCGTGTCAGTAGTATGCCTAAAATGTATTTTTCGGCTTCATTTAAAACTAATTATTTAATTAATTCAAAATATTTCCCCATTTCTGATTGGTTAAAACCACATGCATAATTCACCATAACCAGCGACAGTTGACCAAATTTGGCAAGGATTGTGTCATATTGTACCGATGACGTCAAAATGACGTCAAGTACAACCTGGTTGTAGGTTATTGAACCATTAACCAAGAAAACCTGGGGACGAGGTTCAGTTGTTTTGGTAGTGAGAACAGAATGACAGAACAGTCGGCGGAGCATTTTACTGGTTTCACGGTGAAATATTGTTTATAAACAAGGCAACAACAGCATGAAGAAGGACGACATCTGCTATTTGGAGGATATTTGCAGACCTGAACAGACCTTTATCTCCTAAACTTCCCGATAAAGATGCACTATCGATATGAACTTACTTCGACCAAGTTTAGCATGTGTTAGCTTGTATTCAAACTAGGAATTATTTGGAGGAATAATAAAATAATTATTGGATTTGGCTTTCGTAGGATATGAAGAATTCTGCAGATCGAGGAGGGTGTTATCCACCTCGGCCGAATTTCTAAATAATTATAGCCAAACGTCTAAAAAAAGACCGCTTAAAATCAATATCATAATATTTGGAACAGAAAATTGTTTCTAAGACAGAAATTAAGGAATTCTAGGAATGGGCGTCCGAAATATATACACAATCATTTACTATCCTTGAGTGAAAGTTATAATTTTTCACATATAAATCCTTTCGCTTCTGAGCATGTATCATCAAACCATGTTGCGTCATAATAATACCATCCATAATACCATCTAAAGCGCCATCCCTCAATTATAGCTCCGCAGTCTTGATTGTTGTAATCATTAGGTTGGTCACCTTCCCAGTTTGTATACCCAGTCAATTCAGTTCCATCAGTCCATTTCCATTCACCTTCATTGAGAGAGTCGGAGAGTCCAATCCAGTATAAATCGTTTGCGTCCGCCAAAATATGTGTTTTCAAAAATTGACTTTCACCAGCAGATTCAATTTTCGCTAAGATGCCACCCAAATTCTGGCAGTTATGTTTAGCATTTTCCCAATCCTGAGGTAAAGTGCACAATGTATAATACGACTCCCCAAATCCTCCTGTCCACTGTGCTTCGCAGGCTAAAAAAAATAAATTTAGTTAAAACCTCCTTCGACTATGGCCTTGACTACCATCACACATTACGACTGCTAGTCGACTGTAGTAGATTGTTTATTTTACAGTATTGCAGAATCTGGTTTATAGTAACTTATTAGAAAGCAAAGTAAATATTTGTCTTTTTTTTATACTAATGAAAATAAGTTACATTACTTTCACTTGATAATTTCATAGAGTTCCTTGTATTCATAAATAAGTATTTAAATCTTATTACTTACCTTTCACAGCATAATCACCAGGATATATGACCATTTGTATTTTTTGCTTAGCTTGGTTTCTTTTCAATGAAAGGCTATTATTATTTTTATTTGTCTTATTTATTTATTTCAGTATTTATTTAGGTTTGCTGTGCAGAGTTTTTCTCAAACTGAAATAGGAATTTGGTTCATTCTTAACTTGTTTTGATTTACACAATGGACATGACCTATTTTCTCTGGGCTCATGATCGACCGGATAGCGGCCTTCTTAAATCACAAGTTTTTTACTACATATCTTAATCTTAAATAAACTCGGTGCGTCATTAAAATGCCTTAACTGATGCAAATAATTGCTAAACAATATCTTTCCCTTAAAAAGTTAACACATTCTACAGACTCATGTATCACCAGAAAGATAAAGAGGACATTACATGGCCGCGCGGTGATAGGGAATTT